GCATAGTCCATGATGCGTGACCCCAGCAGGTGAAAGAAAGATGTATTGAGTAGGGAGCTGGCTGGCTATATCACAGGGAGATATTTTGGGGTGAAATTGTCCACATGGTAACATCACTAGTTTTGTTTTTCTGTTCCATGCGCCCACCCCCCCCTCTTATTTCCAACCCCACTCCCCATCTAGAGGTAAAACATTTTGGGAAGTCTGAACCTCCAAAATCTCCCACTTTAATATGACTGTGCATTTTTATAGCTAGCAAGAGCACGTCTCTTGTAGGAAATGTTCTTCTTTCTGCAAACCTTGTCCCCACCAAAATGGGAATTGATATTGTGAAACAGCCCCTTTCCTTCCTTAATCCTGCACACTGGTGGTGGTGGAGGGGAGTCTCCATTACCTGTAAAGTGCTTTGAGTGGAGTGTCCAGAAAAGCGCTATATAAATGTAAGCAATTATTATTATTATTAATCCACGCTCACTCCTGCTTTGGAAGGCAACATCATAAAACCCACACAGGCTTGAGACCGTGCAAACTCCACACAGAAGTCTTTCCAGCTTATAATCGAACTCGGGACCCAGTAGCTTAGCTGTGAGCTGCGCTGTCCACGTGGTAACATCACATGTTTCACAGAATGATTCTTGTAAACGGATACTTAGACAGTCCTGTGTGTAACTGTTCACAGATTGTAATAGAAAGCACTGTGTGTGGGGAATCTTAAAAAGATCGTATTGAGTATACTCCAGATATCTCTGAGAACTTCTGTTCATTTTCTTCCCCGTGCAGCATCCTGGTCAACATGGATGACAACATCATTGAGCACTACTCTAACGAGGACACTTTCATACTGAATATTGAAACCTTCGCAGATGCTTACAAAGTGACTCTGATGGAAATCTGAGAAGCTCTAAGCATGCCGACCAACTTGGTCAGATATCACAAAGCGAGGAAGAAGAAAGAGGATAAAATCTTGAAACCTGTGGTCCCCAAAACGGTGAGCCAGCCTCCTTCCAACTGTAGGAGGAGGGAGACTTTCAAAGGAATGGACCTCTTAAACTAGCTAAACGTCTTCTCCACCCGCAAAACACTACTGTTGCTTCTACGGAATCTATAAAGAGCGAGGCTGAGAATGGAAACCGTGGTGTGTGTGATGTGCCTCCCCCCTCTTCTGATCATTTTGT